TTGATAGAATATTTAACAAGTGATCGATCGGTAAAGACTAAAAATATAAAAAAAGAAAAAAATTCCGACGGAACATCATGGAGAAGAGGGCTCACTCTGACATAAATCCAGGAAATGAAACCTAGTTTATTTTTAGTCGTAGATTCAAAACGAACACTGCGTGTTAAAATTTTTATTTTGTATTTTTACTTCAATCAAACTTCTCTGTGATGTTCAGAGAGTAATCTGCGATTAAACAGAAGTAATGAAACAAGTCGGCCACTTTCACAAACAGCATCAAACTGGGTTCTTTCTGTCAGAGTGATACCTCTTCTCTCAAGGATCTTTGTGTTTTGTGTAAACATCGTCCAGCTGTCAGAGTGAGACCTCCTATCTCAGAGGATCTCTGTCTCCTGGTCGGACTCTTTCTTGCAGACCTCGTTCTGGGTTTTTTAGAGGGAAAATGTTGAATCTGATCCGGTCCGTGAGACCCGCTGCCGTCCTTCTCAGACCCGCTGCTACCGCTGCACAGGTGAGTCCACCTGGAACTCCACACCAGTACTAGACCCAAATCCACGGGCCCAGCAGAACCGTCCCAAGCTGCAGGAAACGCCTCCTTTTTTTACTCTCTGCGGATCAGCACCAGAACTCGTGCACGCTTCTGTTATTCTCAGTGTTCGGGTCACGTGTTTGTGTGGTTCGGTTCGGTTCGGTCCGGTTGGGCTTGGGTCACTGATCTCTGATCAAAGTTAAAGGTCAGAACTTTAACAAGCAGCTGAGGGGGGAGGGGTCCATTTGTTTGTGTGCATGCGCGCACACGCAGGGTCGTGGTCCAGTCACGTATAATCCTCGGTAGTGACGTCACTGATCCAGCAGGGGGCAGCAGAGACCGGGTCAGAGTTCAGAACTTCAGCTGCGAGAAACTGGACTTCCAGTGGGTTGAAGCAGGTTTGAGGTGACCCGAGACCATCCTTCAGGTCCGACCTGGTCTGACCGGGTAAGACTAGGTAAGTCTAGGAAGAGACCAGGTCAGACCAGGTCAGACCAGAAAGAAACCAGGTAAGACTAGGAACAGACCTGGTCTGACCTGGTCTGTTCCTAGTCTTACCTGGTCTGTTCCTAGTCTTACCTGGTCTGACCTGGTCTGTTCCTAGTCTTACCTGGTCTGTTCCTAGTCTTACCTGGTCTGACCTGGTCTCTTCCTTGTCTTACCTGGTCTGACCTGGTCTCTTCCTAGACTTACCTGGTCTGACCTGGTCTCTTCCTAGTCTTACCTGGTCTGACCTGGTCTCTTCCTTGTCTTACCTGGTCTCTTTCAGGTCTGACCTGGTCTCTTCCTAGTCTTACCTGGCCTAATCTGGTCTCTTTCAGGCCTGATCTGGTCTCTTTCAGGTCTGATCTGGTCTCTACCTGATCTGACCTGGTCTCTTCCTAGTCTTA